TTGATCACTGCATATTATATGTATCAAAATATCACTGTGTACCCCATGAATATGTACAATTATTGCCCAATTAAAAAGAGAGAGAGAAAAAAAAACATTGGCTATGGACGCTTCTGCTTGTTTTTTTGTTTTTGAGACAGAGTTTCGCTCTTTTTTGTGCAGGCTGGAGTGCAATGGCGCAATCTCGGCTCACCGCAACCTCTGCCTCCCAGGTTCAAGCAATTCTCCTGCCTCAGCTTCCTGAGTAGCTGGGATTACAGGCATGTGCCACTATGCCTGGCTAATTTTGTATTTTTAATAGAGACGGGGTTTCCCCATGTGGGTTAGGTTGGTCTTGAACTCCTGACCTCAGGTGATCTGCCCACATCAGCCTCCCAAAGTGCTGGGATTACAGGCATGAGCCATCACGCCCGACCCGCTTCTGCTTGTTTTTAATGTTCTCAAGGGGACATGAAGGCTCAGTGATGCCTACTCTGCGATTTTGCTGATGTCGTCTCTTGAGAAGGTAGTTTGGAATCATATACTTTATCTGTATGAGGGTCTGTGCACATGATGAAAACCTCACTTTTGAATTAAGGGAATTAGTTTATAATATTCTGTTTAATTCTTCTGTACTTGAGATTTTCACTAAAATGTAATGCTACCTGATATTACATGATAATTAACTGCCATGTCAAGATTTTATTTTTTACTTAGACATAGAATTTGAGAAACCAAAATGATTTTTGAAGCTCTAATACAGTGCCTGCCTTGTTCTCAGCCCTCTGACCATATTATCTGCTGTATTCTCACCAACTTTCTAGGAAGACATAACATGACAATAAATTTGACAGTGCCTTCTCAAGTGCAAGTCAGTTTTCAGATCTATCATTTCATCACAAATCATTTGCATTTTCAAAATTCCTTGGTTAATTACTTAGTGTTTATCATATTTTTTCTCTATATCGTGTGGCACCATTGACAAGGATTTTATTGGGCTAATTTTTCTCAAAGAAGAAGAATACGTAGCCACATACACCAAAACCACAGATAATCCAGCTGTAATTTTGAGTCCCTATTGCCAAGATAAGGCTTAATGTCAAGTCAAAGAACAATGAACCAAAATATTTTTTAAAAAATAATTGAAGTAATCCTACTGTTTTTTACAAAGACTCGCGATAAAATCTACTTAGAATCTTCTCACCTTTGCTAGTCTCAAAATCATCCCCTTAGAAGGCAACTATACCCTCAAATTCCATTTCTTCCCCAAATTCAAGCCCTCTAAAAATTGACTCTCTTAAATCCAGCCTCAATGATTCTTGAATCAATCCCAACTCCCTGCCTCCCAGTTTATGTTATTTTTTATCCCTGTGGAATAATCTCATCCAGTATAACTTTTACCATCCTCCCCCTCCATTCTGCCTAGCTCTAGTTCCTAAGAGTTAACTGAGCAGCCATGAAGTCTTCCTTAGAAGGCCAAGGAAGAGCTCTAGAATGGGCAGGCTGTGACTGTGTGCTTTCTAACAATATCCAGCCCCTTCCACACATGCTTGGTCCTGCTCTTGAGCCAGCTCTAGCCTGTACATTTTCACAAAGACTGTAGGTCAGTCTCCCTGGTGATGGGACTGGAATATGGTCATCCATGTCCTCAAAGCTCAATGATCAAACTACAGCTGCAGGAGCTCTCTGCTCTTATTTTTGCCATTATTTCTAACAATCGTGTGGAAATTCCTTATTCCACTGTAGGACATATTCTGTATCCAATTTCCTGTAAGCCCCACATAAAGTCTCATCTTTGGCAAAAGGGAGAAGAAGAAATTCCTGAACTTGTCTCCCTTGATAGCACCTGCACTGCGGGAGCCATCTCTAACTATGCATACTGTCACCTCATTGAGTTTTGGCATCAGGAAACTAAGTTCATTTCCAGATCATCTTAATTGAGCTTCTTTGGAAGTGTTGAGGGAGGATTTCTGAGCAAGTAAATAAAATTACACAATGAAAATGAACCCACCATGGTGAGGCTGCACCTTTCCCATCTACTCTTGGGGATTCTTATCATACAAGTTTCAAGTTTTCCTAGAGGAATAATAATAGAAACATTTCGTTATTCCCAAAATTATATCACTTTTAAAAATGTCAAATGCATTGTTTCTTTCACTACCTTTTGAACCTATAACCCAAGATAATTTCCTATCCCTTTTCTCTATTGCCTCCTTTGAACCCAGTAATGAGAACTGTAACATCAGTAATTATTTCTCTATAGCATCTTATTACATGCTTAGGACTCAGAATAGATATAGAGGATACTTGTCTGTAATGTGTGTCCAAGAATTCATGTTCTGGCTCCGTTAGCCTACCTTAGAATGTAAGGTGCTGTTTTGTGATGTGGGTGTGTGGTATTCACTAAGGAACTACTTGGAAGGTGAGACCTCAAAGGACTGAGTTATAATCTACCTCTACATTGAGTTATTTCTTCATGCCTATTTCTGTCACTGTCACTGTCTTCTTATTTGCAAAAAGGTGAAAAATACTACTAGCCATACCTATCTCAGGGCAGTGATGATTAAAGGAGAGGACATACAGGAAGATACTTCAGAAAAGTTTACTCTTCAATTTTTTAATACTCTCTACAAATGTATGTATTATTTATACCAAGAACATATTCAAAGCTCTGCTGTTCTAGTTAGACATTTTCCAAGGTATTATCTCTCTTCCGAAATGGTGGTGAGAGGAAGCTCTGTCAACATGCCTTCCAATGAAACAGTTACAACTGTTGACAGTATTTTAAAAAGCAACCATCTAAAGTCTTTTGAAATTGTTCTTAGAGCATACAGCAAATAAAGAAACACTTATTGAAGCAGATCTAAATCTCAGCTAGAACAGTGAGAGCCTGTGACACTTGAGTCACCACCCACTCCTTCCCCTTAGCTCAGTTCTCTATGGGAAGCTGTGGCCAAGAAGATGGGGCTCCCTTTACCCCAGCTTCCAATCAAAGGCTACAGTATTTCCCTGGAAAGAGCAAGTTGCCAGCAGTTTTTATTACCCAACTCCCATTTGTGTTGTAGAGAATAAATTCCATGTGAGCGTGACTGAGAGGGCAATAGCTCCCTTCCTCCACCAAGACTGCACTTACAAGATAGAGGCCCTATCCCAGGCAGAGGAGACCAAGAACACTGGAGTTCCATACTATGCTCACCCAGCAGGCTCATAGGCAACACTTTCACACTGGGAGAGGCAAACTGAGAAGACCTGAGACTACTACCCAGTGCTCTGCCTCTGAAACAGTGTGTCACTCAGAGAGAAGGGTGACACTGTGCTTGTTCCCAGCTCCAGGACATTGATTCAGAGACGGTTTCCCAGGAGAAGGCAGGCCATAACAACAGAACTCTCTGAAGCTTTCTTCAAAGGAAATGAAATTATTTTGGAACTGAGTGTGGGGAAGCTAAGGCAATTGAGTAGAGGGTGATGGCTCTATAGAGCAACAAGCTAAGCCATACACCAACTAGTTCATCAGAGACAACTGGGAAACAGGCAGACAGGAGAAGGCCCCCAGGAGTCAAAAGAAACCTCAAAAACTACCCCAAGTTTTTGGCCCCAAAGGGGCCCAAAATAATTAAATCAGACTATGAAGCAATTTATACCCCAGACATTGTTGAGAACAGTAGAAAAATTAGTCTGCAATTAGTGAAGGCTAACTGCTGACTGTGGTACTAACAGAAGCAGACAACTTAGCACACAGGAGCCAACAGGAACACTACTAAAATCTATTATCCCACAATGTCTGTGTGTATCCCTGGACTTCACTCTCTGAGAAACATCACAGGTTTCACACTGTGAGGAAGGTAAACTTTACTGGAATAGTCAAGTCACTAAACAGATAAGCAATAACAGCAGTCCTGGGAGAGGGATAGGTGAGTATTCAGAGGTCTTCAGTGGCAAATCAACCACGCATTTAAAGAAGAAATAATGTTTTACTCAATGCACAAATTCCTCTACAAAATAGAGGAGGAAGGAACACTTCCAAACTTATTTTATGAGACTATTATTATCCTGTTACAAAAGCTGGATAAAGATATCACAAGAAAATAATATTGCATACCAATTCCCTCATGAACACAGCATAAAACTTCTTGAAAAATATTAGCAAGTCAAATTGAGAACATACAAAAGACGATTTTACACCATGGCCATGAAGGATGTATCCCAAATGGCAAGATTGGTTGAACATCCAAAAATTAACTAATGTTATAAACCGTATTAATAGAATGGAAGGAAAAACCACACATGATTATCTCAATAGTCACAGAAAAAAACATTTAACATTATGAAACACTGATTTATGACCAAAACCCTCAACAAACTTGGAAGAGAAGAAAAACTTTCTCAACCTGATAAAGGGCATCTATGCAAAACCTAAAGAGAACATTGTACTTAATGGTGAAAGACTGAAAGTTTTTGTTCTGATACTAGAAACAAAGACAGGATAGCAACTCTCACCTCTTCTATTCAACAATGTACTGGAGATTCTAGACAGGGTGATTATGCAGGGAAAAGAAACAGAAGGCATTCATATTGGAAAGGAAGAAGTAATAATGTTCTTCTACATATAAGATGATGTATATATGTAGAAAAATCCTAAGAAATTCACACACACACACACACACACACACAGAAACATGTAGAACTGTACTTTTGCAAGGAAAGTGTGGTTGAAGGATACAATATCAATATACAAAAATTAGCTGTATTCCTCCAATACATAAGTAAATATAAAATTAAGAATAGAATTTGTAATGTTGACTTGCATTATTTCTTTGGCTTATCTCTAGGTTCACTAAATAAGTGCAGTCAAAATTCAAAAACAAAAGAATACAATTTGTTTCATAATAAATAAAAAGGAATAAAATACTTAAAAATCTGCTTACCAAAAGAATATTATATTTGTACATTTAAAAATTGCAGGTCCAGGGCACCCAAGATGGCCGAATAGGAATAGCTCCAGCCTCCAGCTTCCAGCATGAGCAACACAGAAGATGGGTGATTTCTGCATTTTCAACTGAGGTACGGGTTTCATCTCACTGGGGCATGTTGGACAGTCGGTGCTGGTCAGTGGGTGCAGCCCAACCAGCAAGAGCTGAAGCAGGGTGAGGCATTGCCTCACCTGGGAAGTGCAAAGGGGAAGGGAATTCCTTTTCCTAGCCAAGGGAAACTGAGACCCACAACACCTGGAAAATCGGGTAACTCCCACCCTAATACTGTGCTTTACCAAGGGTCTTAGCAAACGGCACACCAGGAGATTATATCCCATGCCTGGCCCGGAGGGTCCCACACCCACAGAGCCTCCCTCATTGCTAGCACAGCAGTCTGAGATCTAACTGCAAGGCAGCAGAGAGGCTGGGGGAGGGGCCCCACCATTGCTGAGGCTTAAGTAGGTAAACAAAACCACCGTGAAGCTGGAACTGGATAGATCCCACTGCAGCTCAAGGACGCCTGCCTTCCTCTGTAGACTCCACCTCTGGGGACAGGGCATAGTTAAACAAAAAGCAGCAGAAACCTCTGCAGATGTAAATGTCCCTGTTTGACAGCTTTGAAGAGAGCAGTGGTTCTCTCAGCATGGAGGGTGAGATCTGAGAACAGACAGACTGCCTGCTCAAATGGGTCCCTGACCCCTGAGTAGCCTAACTGGGAGACATCCCCCACTAGGTGCAGACTGACACCTCACACCTCACATGGCTGGATACACCTCTGAGACAAAGCTTCCAGAGCAACGATCAGACAGCAACACTCGCTGTTCAGCAATATTCTATCTTCTGCAGCCTCCACTGCTGATACCCAGGCAAACAGGGTCTGGAATGGACCTCAAGCAAACTCCAACAGACCTGCAGCCAAGGGTCCTGACTGTTAGAAGGAAAACTAACAAACAGAAAGGACACCCAAACCAAAACCCCTTCAGTACATCACCATCATCAAAGACCATAATCAACGGCAGATAAAACCACAAAGATGGGGAAAAAGCAGTGCAGAAAAGCTGGAAATTCAAAAAATCAGAGTGCATCTCCCCCTCCAAAGGAACACAGTTCATTGCCAGCAGTGGAACAAAGCAGGATGGAAAATGACTTCGATGAGTTGAGAGAAGAAGGCTTCAGTCGATCAAACTTCCCAGAGCTAAAGGAAGAACTATGTACCCAGCGCAAAGAAACTATAAACCTTGAAAAAAGAATGGAAGAATGGATAACTAGAATAATCAATGCAGAGAAGTCCATAAACGAACTGATAGAGATGAAAACCATGACACAAGAACTACATGACAAATGCACAAGCGTCAGTAACCGACTTGATCAGTTGGAAGAAAGAGTATCAGTAATTGAAGATCAAATGAATGAAATGAAGTGAGAAGAGAAGTTTAGAGAAAAAAGAGTAAAAAAAAAATGAACAAAGTCTCCAAGAAATATGGGATTATGTGAAAAGACCAAATCTACATCTGATTGATGTGCCTGAAAGTGA